GCAAATGTAAAATTTGTTTTTACTGTTTGGTTTACTTCACATGAAATAATTCTATGCTTGGAAGTTGATTCATGATTAGATCACATGAATACTTTAATTTCCCAAGTATTACTGAACTGCCAGTGTTAAATGCTACCAAACTGTCAGTTGTCAACTACAGTGAAATGCTTAGAATAATTGCATGCCAACTGGAAAATTGTAATACCACCGCGTGTCAACTCTTACTAAAACTGCTAAAAACTCACAACACCCAAATGTATTTGCTGTCACATATCTAAAACATTCAACTACTAAGTACAAGTGTGGATACTGAAATCAAGTATCAGATTTCAATTAAATAAACATGCAGTGTAAAGCAGTGAAGGTAAATAGCAAATATTTGCATGACTATTTGAAGCTTGACAGCTTCCTGCTGATCAAAACAAAGAAAAAAACCTGCAAAGAAACTGCTTGAATTGGCTGCAAGCATGTAACTATTTCTAGCACTGAATTTCAGCAGTAAATTGTACTAAATTTATTCAAGCAAGTGAAATAATGCACATGCTCAACCTTAACAAATTATTTGTGTGAGAGTAATTTTAATAATGTTGATAAAAAACTTTCCAACATAATAAACACATTATTTCCCTTGCTACAAAATCTGGCTTTTTAATTAGTAGATGGCATCAAAAGAACCTATTTAATTAGTCTTTGCCATTTTTTTTTCATTTTGTACCAAGCCATAAAAACTCTAGCTCAACATTTGGGGTGTATACAAGAAACCTCTAATATGCACACAGAGCTATGTATAACTAAGAACGCTTTCACAAACTTCAGTGCTAGAAAAAAAACCCAATGCGAATAATGTCTGTGTTCATTTCAGGTCTTAACAACCCCCCCCCCCTTCCTTTTTTGAATGCAGTTAGAATTTTATTTTGACTACAACCTCCTCTCCCATTCCCCTTGATTCCCCTGAGTGGTCAAGCCCAACTTTTCTAGGCTTTTCTCATGCTTTGGACTTGTCACTACAATATTTCAATTAATATTTTAAAAGGTGTTGGATATCTGTTTCAGAAAATAGTCAGCCATGCTCTGAGGGATATCCTGATACATAGAGAAACAAGGTTTGTCAGCAACTGAGATACAAGTGACACTGATGAAATCTGACAGCTGTACCAATCAGCCTTAGAGTCATTCCTGAGTGATGCTTTCCAAGTCTTCAAGGTGGTTCTTGGTTTATTCTATATCTGAAATTTTAATGTGTAAACCAAAGGTAAAGGTTTCTCCTTGACATAAAGTTTAGTTGTGTCCAACTCTGGGGGGCAGTGCTCATCTCTATTTCTAAGCCAAAGAGCAAGCATTGTTCATAGATACCTCCAAGGTAATGTGGCCAGCATGACTGCATGGAGCGCCATTACCTTCCTGCTGAAGCGGTACCTACTGATTTGCTCACATTTGAATGTTTTCAAACTGCTAGGTTGGTAGAAGCTGGGGCTAACAGCAAGAGTTCACCTTGCTCCCCGGATTTGAACCACTGACCTTTTAGTCAGCAAATTTAGCAGCTCAATGGTTTAACCCACTGTGCCACATAGAGTAGGCAAAATGCCACTTTCCCATTGTAAGAGTATTGCAATCTCAATGGTAAGGAAATCTTGGGGATGCAAAGTAGAAACAACTACCCCTAGTGCAGAGGTGCAAGAGAGCCCTCTTGGTTAGTAGTTTGGGCACTGGACTATGATTCCGCAGACCAGGGTTTTAATCCCTGGTTGGCCATGGAAACTCACTGAGTCACACCTTGTCTCAACCTTAAAGGGAGGCAAATAAGAGTTCAGATTTCTAACATTATAGTGCAACACGTTGAAAAATATCCATATCTACAACTCTTATATTTGGTGTGCTTGTATTCCTTTGGTCACTTTACCTGCCCATGTTTTTTGGATGCCAAAACTCTCCATTCAGCCGAGGTCTTAAGTTACTAAATTATTATTTTGAAGAGGCAATTTGTCTGTCCCTCATCCCCTTTCCCCCTACCATAGCTACTTCCCTGTAAACCATATGCATGTATACTGATCAGAAAGGCACATTCAGGCTGTCATGACTGCAACTCTCTTGAATAGAAACATTCATACATTTTTCCTGAACTTTATAAGTCAAGGACAGGAATTGTGTGACCCTTCATATGTTGTTGGGCTGTAGGGCCAGCATAGATAATCGTGAAAAGCATTTCCACAGCATCAGGGAAGCTGCATGATTGCCACTCCTAGGTAGTGGTAACACAAATAATTTTACTTGATTTCCACTTTTTACTAGCTCTTAATCACTGTGCCATCAGTACTGTTTATTCTAGCTGGGAGTATTTACACAATCAAGCACAATTGAAGGTGTTCAGTTGCAAAAATGCTGCATTATAAACACAGAACTGGGTTTCCACTAGTTACTATACTGGAACAGAAAAGCATTTTGTCCACACATCAAGTGGCCACCTGACAATGGAAATTACAATTTCAGGTTGGACTAATTGAGTCATTTAGAGCAGAGTTTCTCAAACTGTGATCCTCCAGATGTTTTGGATTTCAGCTCCCACAATTCCTAGCAGCTGGTACGCTGGCTAGGATTTCTGGGAGCTGAAGTCCAAAACACCTGGAGGAGCACAGTTTGGGAAACACTGAAAAAGAGAATCTTTCTTTGGTCCACTGCCATTTGTATTGTTCACATGGAAGGAGTCAATTTGCAACCGGGATGAAGAACATGAAAGAGAGAGTGAGGGGGGACGTAACAGAGAGTGTGTGTAAGACTGCATGTGTGAGAGAGACAGAGAGGAAGTGTGCACAAAAAGATGATAGAAAAAGAGTAGATCTGACTCAATCCACAATTGCTTTCAGCTTTGCCTGATAACAGTATGCAGCTTTAGAAAAGATTACACTCAAATTCACATGAGCTCGTGAATTTGGTTCCATAGTAAGTTTTCAGAAAAGGCTTGGTTCCAAGGTGTAATTTCAGATGTTGAGATGAGGATGAGGGCATTATCCACATAAGAATTATACTCCACAAAATAACTTTTTCTGTCCCAAATGGGTAGTATTGTAGCAACTTAAAACCAAGCATTTAGAAATATAGTTATCCAAAGAAAAGGAGGAGACAATATTACCAAGGGAATAGGAATATAGCAAATAGAAGAGTTCTAGATGTGAATGATAGACCAAGAAAAATATTTGAAGGATAGAATTCTTACTTGTTGTGGGCAGGGACAACAATTTTATTTTGCTCTCCATAGTTACAATCTTGCTTTTATCACACTGTTGCCTCATCCAGTGAATTTTAAGGGTGTGACAGATGATGCTGCCTTCCCAGTACAACCCCTTTATGCCACCAGTTTCCCATTTTTCCTTTAATATCTTGAGAAAGATGCTGGTGGGTGGGGGAGGGTCAGGGCAGTGTTTTCTTATTGCCAGATTCTAATTCCTCCATTTAGCAATACCACTGAATGGTGGCTAGAGCTTGATAGGTACACTGGCTCTTCTTGTACTATAGCCCTATGCTTCAACTTCTATTATTTAATAAATTACTGTATATACTTGTTTATAAGCTTAGAAATTTTAACAGAAAAATCAAATGAAAAACCTAGGTCAATGTAAGTACTATATCTTAATTCTTTCTTTTGGAAGGAATTATTCCCTTCTTTGAGCAGAGTGGCAAATGGTAAGAGCTTAGTTCATCCTGGGAGGATCTAAAAGAAGTACCAATCCTCTTTCTGCTATGGTGCTATTTTTGGCCTTTTTAATGTTCCTCCCCTAAAGCAGTTCTGATGTTTTAGTCTCTCAATTAATTGAATGATTCTCAACTATTGCACATATATCAAAATCCATAACTTTAGACCCTTAGTGTACTTATACACAAGTATTTACAGCATTATAGTTGGCTCATTGTATCAATGGAATTAATGATTAATGGCTTGAAAATATTCCAAAAATATATATCCAAACTTTGGGTTTGCCAATTTAGATAAGGAACATCAATTTATTATGTCATTGAATATATTGGAACTTGAGCATTCATGGCTTCTGGTATCTACAGGAGGAGGGGATATCCTTGAATGGAACCCCGGTGGATACCAAAGGCCCATTGTAATAAGAGGCAAGTTTTCAAGTGGATCCTTAATTACAAACTATAGCTCAATCTATATTTATCACAAAAAAGACCTCTAAAATGTTCTCCTTTTGGGTCTTCTAAATGAGAAAGTCAGTATCCAAGTTTTAATGTTTTCAGAGGGAAAGAATACTTCTTTTCATTCACTCTCTTTTCAGATCATTAATTATTTTATGATAGGATGGATATCTAATCAGCCCCAAATATGCATTATGGATTTTTTCTATTCTTTTTTGTCCAACCTCAGCCTTTTAGCTATGCTATTTTGACACAGGATAGTACAGCACATTAAACAAGGCAGCTACTACTCCCTCACACAAAGAAAATAAGATTAATAAATCATTCCACAGCAAGTTGCACAATATATTAGCAGTACATTTCTTAGCAAATATTAGTCTATTCAAAAGGGCAACAAGCTCTGGTGTTGTCCGCTCAAGGTGGGTACGCCAAATCCTTCTAGCCCATCTTCTATAGTAATAGTGCTTGAAACTAGCAAAAAGCCCTGTTAGGAGTAGGAGCCTTACATTTACTGTTAAAGGCTACTGAAATATTGGTAGATGTTCTGCGTCCCTTATTCATATCATGTGCCGTGATGGCTAATGGCAGTAGTAATGCTTCCCCCCTTTTATTGACAAATACTTTGTTTTTAGTGATCATGCATTCATTTTTTAAATAAAGAAGATAATTGACTTGTAGAATTCATCATCATGGGACATTCAGGATAGTGTGATGACCACTACCACAAAAAGGCCTTGATTTGACAAGTTTGCAGGAAATGGGGTATTAGACTGAATGGTGGCTAAGAATAGAAAAACATTATCCAGAGTCAGCAGACTTACTTCTCCAAGCAGTAGACTTACAAAGTTAGTCCCTACCTCTTTTGAATCTTCTCTACTCAGAGCCAGCCCTGGCATTTTTTTGGATATAACTGAGTTGCAGAACTGTGGCCAAGAGATGTGCATGTTCTTGTTCTGAAACTATATAGAAAAGGGAAGAAAAGTTGGAACAAAAATTCTTGAAATAGCACAAGCGAATGCAAAGGTCTAAATCATGAAAATGTCTGTTTACTCCAATTTATATTTAACAAGTACCTGATTTGTTTTTTTAAAAAAATGTATTATCTGATGAAATGTGATACATTCATTAAAAAAACATAGCATATCTTACATAATATCTCTCTTACATGGCATTCCCACAATCCCTTCTCCACTGTCGTATTATTTCATGGAATGAGAAATCTCAAAAATATTCCCTTCTTTGATATGTATTGAAAGAGAAGGCCTGACAAAGCTTTGTTTTGGCATTGTTATACAACAAGAACAAAAAAAATTACTCATGCTTTACATGTACTCCTGGGCAAAGAGCAAAAACAATCTTATTTGTTCTTCTCTCTGCAATAGTTGTTTACAAAAGAGTAATTTAAAATGAAAATTATTCATCAGGACATGATGTAATAATGCCCACACCCTCCTCAGCTAATCCTGTGAGAAAGAGGAGAATAGCATGGAAAAAGGAAGCATATGCTGTTCTCCTCTATTAGAACAGCAAGACTTTGGGCTTACATTCAGGGCTCAAAAATGTTAGAACTGTAACTCCCAGAATCTTCAATGAACATGAATATCAGGGTTTTGGGGCAATTTTGTGAACTTCTGGGAGTTTCAGTCCAAAAAGTAATCTTCCCAAACCTTGTATTTCTGGTACAGTATTGGAAGTTTATTCCAATATCATACTATATCTTTATTATGATAGTTTTCTGCACAAGGCTGGCTTATATATAATTTGCAATGATTCTCCACTGCATCTGAAAACAAACATTAGCTGTCATTACAATGATAGAGGTGAAATGACAGTATACATAAATGTAGCACACCATAGCACATTGCACTGATCTATGCATTAACAATTAAACCAATTTGACTCACTGAATGTTTAAATGCAGTTATATAAAGACAGTACACTAAGGTTAATTGTGCGCGTAATAAAGTATCACATATGCCATGCTAGTTTATTTCTATTTCCCTGTATCTTTAACTGAGCTGCTCAATAGATTATCAAGGTCAGTTTCAAGTAATCTGTGTCAGTGCCGTATCTGCTACAGAAGCTCTTGGTGGAAAATATGTTTATATATTCACTTACCTATTTAAACTGTTTAGCTGACAATGTGGCACAATATTTTGACAAAAGCACAAAACAGCAAAACTCAACCCAATAGGCAAATAACAGTTACTCAGCCCACTGCCAGGCTATTATGTCATAGCTTCCCAAATTGAACTTGTAACATTATACATTATGATTTTCTTGTATGTCTTCAAATCATTGTCATCTTAAGGCAAACTCTAAGACAAACCTATCACAGGGTTTCTGGGACTGTGTGTAACTTGCCCAGGATCATACATTAACATTAAACTACATTGTCAATTTTAAGTTGTCAATTTTAATCCGCATTTCATTAATGGATTTTAACTTGTATTATAACTCTGTGTATCTTCTTGTATGTCTTTTAATAGTTTTATCTCTTGTTTTAATGATGATGCATCCCACCTCAGGCTGCAGAGTAAGGGGAGTAATAAATGTGTTGTTGTTGTTGTTGTTGTTGTTATTATTGAACTTCCCCATTTTAGAGAGATGTTGTATTCCTTCAAAACCATCAGGATTTGAAACCCCATTCCTTGTCCTCAATGTGGCCTTTTCTCCATTAGTTCTTCCCTAAACCAGACTATTTCAACCTAAACCACCCTGAGTCCCTTCGGGAAGAAAGGGGTAGGTAATAAATAAAGTTGTATTGTTATTATTTTACTGACACAAAAACAAAGTATGTCACATCAAACAAGATCTATATGATGGATTTCGTATCTCAAAATCACAAGTTGAACACTTCCCAAGCATCTAGGACTGTGTGATTTTTTATTATTGTTGTTGTTGTTATTATTATTATTATTATTATTATTATTATTATTATTATTATTATTATTATTATTAACCCAAACTGTGAAATACAAGGTAAACAGTGTCCCGGGAAACCTCCTGGAATAATACAGTGTGGAATTTATGGAATGATTTTTCAAGCAATAGTTCAATAGATAAGAGTCAGTGTGACGTTGCCTTTTGCTTTTATTTTTTGCTACCATAGATTTCATATAACTATAAGATAATAACATATATCCAAGTTCTGGGAGTGGATCAGGGGTCAAGCTCTGAAGCTGAGGTTAATAATTTATGATTTTAAAAAGACAGAGAAAAGCCAAGATCTCAATAAAGGTAAGTGAAGCACTGAAGTTTTGGAGTCATTTTCTCAACCATTTCCAGCCATTTTGTTTCATTGGCCTCTAAATGAAGTTTACGGTTGGACAACACATTTTAAACTATCAAATTCTGGATATTAGTTTGATTCGATTTTACCTCCTCTTAAGTGCAATTTTGTGCCCTTGTAAATTTAACTGTTTTAGACAGCATTAATTGCTTCACTTAGAAACATTGAGAGCTGTAATATTTAGACTGATTGGTAAGTACAACATTCATTTCATCCAATAAGGGCTGCTTGAATTGCTGAGGAACTTTTAAAATGACAATATTAACAACTAAGTACAATTTTACAAAGGGAGCTGTCAATACTCGATATCCTCAAATCCCATGGGTTTTTAATTGCAAAGCACTTACACACTTTGGGCATTCATTCCGTGCTGTTTATTGGCGATTTCCCTTTAATCTCTCACCCCAGCCCCCGGCTAATGTCAATATATTCAAAACTACACCAGCTTTTTGCTGGTGGTACAAAATAACACCTTTTTTCCTCCAAAAACAAAACAAAACATTATTTTCAAGATTTCTTGTTCATTTTTTAAAGAGCCTTACATGAAACTTAGAATTGTGTGCAGTTATGAGATACGTTCAGCAACAATTAAGAATGATTTCATACTTTGCCTCTAGAGATTAGGCCATAAATGAATGAATAAATAAATATCGTTCAATTAATTTCAAAGCAAAATGTCTCCAATAAAATAAAACAATGGGAAAAGTTTCTTCCAAAGGTGTCACACTGCATTTAACTTCCTTGCAATTTTCTCGTTCTAACGTCTTTGCAACTTTGTGAAGATTAAAGTTTTTTCATGTGATTTATTGCCTAAGTATTCATAAATATCTGTCAAAAGTGTATTTATTAGGGCTGGGCAGTTTCGTTTCGTTAATTCGTAATTCGTTAATAATTCGTTAATTTTTTCAATTACAAAACGATAACGAACCATTCTGGAGCAATTTTTTTAAAAAACGAATTTTTAAATAGTTTTGTAAATGCTTCGTATTTCGTTATTGTATTCGTTTTGTTATTGTTTTGAGGTCGTTTCGTTATTATTTCCGCATGTCTGGGGCAAGTTTTATGGTTTTTTTGTTTAATTAGTGAAAAAAATTATAATATCACACCAACAGTCAACAACAGAGGGAGAGGGAAGCTTCAGAAGTTTTTGGAGGTTTTTTAGCGTATTTCGCGGTCGCGTCCGCCATTAACGAATCGATTCGTTATTGTTTCGGAAATCGATTCGTTAATGTTTTGTAATTTTTTTTCACATTTATGAAATTTCGTAAATATCGAACTTTTTTAAAGGAAAAATTTGTAATTATTTTAAATAACGAAACGCAAAAATCCCCAAAAAACGAATCGATTTTAGAAACAAATTTTTCCGTTGTTACCCAGGCCTAGTATTTATTATATTAACATTAGTAAGGTACCAGTTTCTCCTCAAAACAGTGCAAGGAAGCATATCTTGTCTCATATTTCTAGCCCTAATTTATGCAGGTACTGTACTTTGATTAATATAAAGATTAATTTTTTTTAATTTAATTTATTTTTTAAAAAAAATATCCAATACTTTTCAATTTGACTTACTGTGTCGTGTGAAACTCTTGTTCCATCAAGCTTTTTCAATGCTCTTAAGGGCCAAAGAGACCAATTAAACATTTTATGAAATTACTCCAAACTGATAATTGTTCAAGTCATATCCCCAGTATTAAGATTTTAAAGGAGTCATTTTATTTGGATATTAACTTTTATCCAAATAGGTGTTGATATCTCAAGTTGGGAACTTAGAAAGTCCATGAACTGATAAAAAGAAGGTTCGGATCTTCTAATATTCAGAACATCCAAGAGTCAGTAGACTGTATCCAGACCTAGTTTGAGTAAATGCACTGTAATTAATAGGATTTGAATGAGTAATGGCCCAATTGTTTTTATTAGTCTGCTCTAAACAAAATAAATTGAGATCCAACTCAATTTCTGACACTCCGTTTTCCTACTGCCCTGAGTCTTAGCCTTTTCAGACTTTTCTCTGGTGTGTATTGGTACTTACTTCCTGAGATAAAGACCATGATACTATTAAAAGAGAAGATTTTGCCAGCAGACTTATGTGACAATAACAAAGGTCAACAGTCCCAGCATTTGGCTAAGAGCTTTTCAAATGTGTTCTCCAAGAAGATAAGGATATCATGCATGGTACAGCAGGGCAAAGAGTCCTAAAAATAATGATTGAATTCAAGGTTAAGTTCATACAGTAGGCTTTGCAGATTTGTGGACTGCAGATCTGTGATTTCCAGCAATGATGAATTGACATGCCCCATATCAATAAATGGCAGTATCATGAACACTGACAGTGAAGCACGTGCTTTCACATTGCCACCATTTAATAATATGGGGAGTTTTGTTGAAGGCTTTCATGTCTGGAATAAGTGGGGTGTTGTGTAGTTTCCAAGTTGTATGGCCATGTTCTAGCAGCATTTTCTCCTGACATTTCTGATACTCAGAAATATTCTCTTTCAAGCTCAGGAAGCCTTTATCTCAGGAAGTAAAAAAATGAAAATAATAAATGAAGCTGGGCACAGAATATTCTTTGAAAACACAGAAATTCTGAACCACTCTGACAATGATTATGTCAGACTACACAGAAAAACCACCTAAGTTCACTACCACATGGACAATTTCAACAGAAAG